CGACATCTCCTTTTAGGGTTTAGGGTTTGGTTACCAACATCTCCTTTTCGGGTCTAGGGTTTGGTTACCAACATTTCCTTTTAGGGTTTAGGGTTTGGCTTTCGACATATCCTTTTAGGGTTTAGGGATTGGCTGACCAGCATATCCTTTTAGGGTTTAGGGTTTGCTTACCAACATCTTCTTTTAGGGTTTAGGGTTTGGCTGACCAGCATCTCCTTTTAGGGTTTAGGGTTTGGCTCACCGACATCTTCTTTTAGGGTTTAGGGTTTGGTTACCAACATCTCCTTTTCGGGTTTAGGGTTTGGCTCACCGACATCTCCTTTTAGGGCTTAGGGTTTACTTACCAACATCTCCTTTTAGGGTTTAGGGTTTGGCTATGGACAGCTCTTTTTAGGGTTCTCCTTTTAGGGTTTAGTGTTTGCTCACCGACATCTCCTTTTAGGGTTTAGGGTTCGGTTACCAACATCTCCTTTTAGGGTTTAGGGTTTGGCTTTCGACATATCTTTTTTAGGGTTTAGGGTTTGGTTACCAACATCTCCTTTTAGGGTTTAGGGTTTGGCTTTCGACATGTCCTTTTAGGGTTTAGGGCTTGGCTCACCGACATCTCCTTTTAGGGCGTAAGGTTTCGTTACCAACATCTCCTTTTAGGGTTTAGGGTTTGGCTCACCGACATCTCCTTTTAGGGTTTAGGGTTCGGTTACCAACATCTCCTTTTAGGGTTAAGGGTTTGCTGACCAACATCTCCTTTTAGGGTCTAGGGTTTGGCCATCGACATCTCTTTTTAGGGTTCAGGGTTCGGCTTCCCACATCTCCTTTTAGGGTTTAGGGTTTGGCCATGGACAGCTCCTTTTAGGGTTTAGGGTTTGCTCACCGACATCTCCTTTTAGGGTTTAGGGTTTGGCTGACAACATCTCCTTTTAGGGTTGAGGGTTTGGCTTTCGACATATCCTTTTGGGGTTTAGGGTTTGGTTACCAACATTTCCTTTTAGGGTTTCGGGTTTGGCTTTCGACATATCCTTTTAGGGTTTAGGGTTTGTCTCACCGACATCCCCTTTCAGGGCTTAAGGTTTCGTTACCAACATCTCCTTTTAGGGTTTAGGGTTTGGCTCACCGACATCTCCTTTTAAGGTTTAGGGTTCGGTTACCAACATCTCCCCTGAGGGTGTTGGGTTTGCTCAGCAGCATCTCCGTTTAGGGTTTAGGGTTTGCTTACAGTGCGCACCGCGAAAAAGAACCTGGCCAAAAAGCGGCCCTGCGGCTCGAGCAGTGCTGCCTGCCTCAAAGTCTCCAAAGTACTGCGCTGGCCACGTATTATGCGGTTCCGGCCCCCGCGCCAGAGACCAACGTGCACGACAAATTTGTGATTTGTCGCGGAAATCATCTCCTGCCATCAGACTCTGAGAACCCTCGAAAGTACTGCGCCTGCCACGTATTTTGCACTTGCCGTCGTGCTCTACAGCGGTAACATAGCCAAAAAAAGGCCGCGCGTCTTGAGCCCTGCTACTTGCCGAGAAGTCTCAACAGTCTTGCGCTGGCCACGTATTATGAGGTTTCGGCTGTCGCAGCAAACACCAATTTGCGCGTAAAATTGTAAATTTTACACGGAAATCGTCTCCTGCCGTCAGAACCCACCAACCCTCGAAAGTACTGCGCCTGCCACGTATTTTGTACCTCGCTGCCTATGTAAGGAAAGCTCCGCGGGGCAAACCTAGGGCTACGCCCGTACTACTACTACTACTACTACTACTACTACTACTACTACTACTACTACTACTACTACTACTACTACTACTACTACTACTACTACTACTACTACTACTATTTTCATTCCAATCGCAGCCGGTCGCTCAGCTTGGCGTCAGGTACATGGCAGTGCTTTGCACCGGTGCTTCATGAGCACTAAACCACATGGGCAAGTTCCGCTACGAATAGCTGCAAACTTGCGACCTACTCAACTTGTCATGAGACAGTACTTGTGTACTGTATGTGGTGTGTTGCCGCGGCATTTAGCCTGGGCGAACAGACGACATCAAAATTGAGCTCATTGGTGATCGTTGTGGCCTCGCCAACGGTGATGGAGTTGAACAGTGGCGCTTCATTTGAGCTCAGCTGTACATCTCTGGAGAGTCGCGCTATTTACAAGTGGCCCAGCAGGGCGCACTTGAGTGGCTCACTGTGGCTCACTGTGGCCGCGTCGGGGGTAGTGTGACGGAGTGGGAGTGGCAGGGCAAACTCCAAGCTTCGCAGTGTTTGTAGTTGTGCCGGAGTCAGCCTGTCTGCCGCCTTGACCGTGTAGATGGCAATGGTGATGCGGTGTCCTGTCCAAGGCCTGGTCTCGTGCCATTGGTGTGGATCAAAAGAGATCCCCGGCAGCGTGAGATTCATCACGATTCCTCGCATGGTACCATCCTGAGAAGGGACTGGGCCGTTTGGTTGATGGATCCACAGGCCTCCTCCTCGAAACTTGGAGCATGGCAGCACTACGTTGGTGCTGGACTCCGCGCTGTTGGAGTCTCTATGTGCCCGCATGAACGTATTTCGTTGTAATACAAAACTGGTAAAGGTGGCAGTGGTGCAGGAACGAACATATTTGCACAGTAGTAGCGTGACCCAGGGGAACTGCGTGGTGTTCCGTCGTAATCCTGTTAGCCGGCCTTGGGAGTAGGCTCCACTCGAAAAGCTCATTCCCCCCGGTATCGGGTGAGTTGCTTCTTTTCGCGGCTCGCCGCAAGGGAGACAGTCACAAAGTAGCCCCCAGTCGGCCAAACGCATCTGTCCTGTTGTGATCATGTCCGCCGCGATTTGCTCCGCCACCTGTGTGAGAATAGGCATCCCTTCGGGTACATTGTCTTGAATCTCCAACGAGTAGGGCAGTCTCACCACGTGCTCATCTGGGGGCAGCTCTTCCAGCTGCTCCCCTTCCATGTGCCTATGAGAAGGTCGCACTACGGATAGTGAGTATCTAAGGCACTGGCAGGACAGCGGCATCACCAGTGGGGCGGTTCTGGCTGTGGATAGGTAGGCTGCAACGGGGTGGAGAGGTGGGGGTGGGGTTTGCTGCAATACGCTCTGCTTTTTTCTCCCTGCGCTGGTCTGCGCACGTCAGAATGTCAGCTTGGATTTAATTAGGCTGAATTAGAGTGGCCGCCTGCTGGCGCACTAAGCGTTGCAGTGTCTCAGGTCTTGGCAGCGTACCTGCGACGGATAGGAGCATGCAGTGTGGGTAGGGGTACGGGTAGCCGCAGTTGTTGGCAGCGTGCAATTTTTTCTGATTTTTGGGATTTTCGGAGCACAGGCTGCTTATGCATCCCCCACAAGCGGCTACCCCTCTGCGCTCATTGCCGTCAAGTTGTGGTCCTGCAGAGCAGGACCAGGTAACACTGTTGCGCGAGCACCGAGTCGTGTGCAACCGCTGTTCTGATGTGCTCAATAGGCTTTCCATCATCAGCCTTCCATTGTGGTGGTGCATGTGGTGCGATGCGGGCAGGTAGATGGTTGAGGTAGCGTGTGGTGTAGTGCCCAGCATGTATGGTAAGTCCACAGTGTAGGACGCATGCCGTGACTAGGTATGGGATTCGCTCACATGTGGAGCCTCGCTGGGGGTCGCTATATAGCATGGTATATCAACTGTGGTGTCAATTGTGACTGGGGTGTGCAGTTTTGTGGTGCGGCCTCGGGCATCATCCTGAAAGCGGCAGATACGCATGAGCATGATGCGTGGGGGATGGGTGCAAGCTTGAAGGTAGGTGCCTCCTCTGTGCCAGTGCTCAATTAGAGCCTGAAGCGAGGTGGTATTGGTATGATGTGGGTTCGGGAGATCGAGTGTAATAGATTTTTGTGTGCTATGGTGACCTCGAGTCTCGGTGCCTTCTATGTCGCTGACAATGCGCGATTCCCACCTGCCTTGTAGGACTTGTGGCCGTCCTGTACACAGGAGATGCTCAAGGAACTCGCAGGCATCTTGTTGTTGGTGTAAATTGGCCCAGTTACGAAGTAGGGGCTTCCAGGAGTTAAGGGCATGGATATGAAGTGGGCGTCGGGTATGGCGTATAGTAAACGTCTCTCCATGCCTGTTCCTGCGTGCCGAACTTCAGGATGTGTGCAACCTGAAGATGACTGGTGGCATACAACCAAGCCCTGACACTTGCGTTGACATAGCATGTGTTAGTGCTGTTTAGCAGCCTTATCAGGAGTACTCGGCCAACGCCTGTTGGACAAGCGCGGCAGCCGGCGATTGTTTGAGAGAATCGCGCCGAAGCTGGAGCCCTATCACTATCACCTGCAAGGCCGCCAATCCCGTCAACGCCTCCAGGCACTCCCATACCGTCATGTGGCCCTTCGTCCTGTTCGAGACGTCGAGTTGAAAGGTGGTGATGCCCGTCATGTTCCCGGCCAGTGGGCGCGTCGCATGAAATCGATGGACCATGTAGGGCTGCATGATGAGGGGAAGCACTAGCTGCAGTGCCTCTACCAACTTCGTATGAGCCAGAGGGGGCCTGTTCTCGTCCTCCACTAGGCTCCCCAGGGCCGGCGACCACTTCTGATAGCACCAGCATCCGTCCTGCAGCCACTTCGACTCCTCGGCCTTGGTCTGGAACGGCGTGGGCGTCGCTCCGCCGATGTCCTTCAGGCTTGCATGGAGCATCTGGATCAGGCATCCGAAGAGTGTGGTTCTGAGGGCTAGGGTGGTCGTGCCCTCCTCCTGTGACTTCTTCCATTTCCGCGAAGAGGAGGGGCAGGGGTCCCTGGTTGCCCGGCTGGACAAAGAGCACCCAGCTGTAGTCCTGTCGAAGAATCTTGAGCGCCGTCTCCTGTTGAAGGGCCAGCCTGGCTAGCGCCTTGATTAGGTAGTTCAGGTTGGGACCTTCCGAGAATCGTCCCTTTCCCCCACCTTTGCGCCAGGGTTGTTTGTTGGTGGGGGCCAGCTGCCATGGTCTCCCCTTCCCCAGCTCCGTTCGCGACGCCTTGCTTCTGTCTGCAGGGGCCGAGTTGGGCTCGGCCTCCCTCTTCACCGGCTGCCAGTCCATGTTGTTCAGCTGCTCCGTCACCAGGGGGCCGAAGACTTCCTGAAGCTGGTCCATCCTGTCTCCTGGCAGACTGAAGCTTTAGGGACATAAGACTGATTTGCCAGAGTACTGTGCATTTGGCAGGATGCTGTCGCGGGGCCTTTGTGACGGCACCACAGTGCTCACACGGGGATCCTGGTGTGTTAAATCTGGAGCACAGACGGCTGGCCGGCAACATGTTCAGCTCATGATCTGCAGGATGCGAGAGTCTATAGTGCTGCTTCATCTTCCCTGAGCATGCAATCCACTGGGAGCACAGGGCGCAATACTGCTGGAGCCAGCTGCGGTCCTGGAGACGAAAAGCTGCATTCTCTGAGTGCCTCAGGAGCAAGTCTTGTACAGTGGGCCTCTGGAAGTACGGCAGAGCGTCTTCAGGCGCGTGCGTCTCTGCAGGATCTGGGGATGTGGCAGACACGGCTGGGGCAGGTTCAGAGGGTGACGCGGGCTGGGGCTGAGCGTTATCAGGGTTAGTGAGGTTAGTGAGGTTAGGGCTAGCTACGGGGTGGGTGGCTTGGCACGGAGGCGTATCGGCGCTCATCGCGCTGTGCGTGGGTATGGGCTCATGTGCGTCTGGATTTGCTTGGGTGGGAAAAAGGACTCTGCATCTATGTTCCTGAATGTGTTTGCGCAGGCTCGAGAAGTCATAGAGCTTGACTCGACAGTGGCTACACTGCGGTAGTCCACCCAGGGCATCAAGATGCTTGTCAAAAGTGCGTCTAGGCTGGTTGACGGGTCTTGTAGGGTGGGCTTTGTGGTGTTTGGCCATGTGTCCAAGGAGAGAGGCTCTCGTTGCAAAGTAGATTCCGCATTCAGGGCACGGGTATTCCTTCTGTGGTGGGTCCATGATCTCTGTGAGTTGCGTGGAGCCTTCTAGCTGTAGCGTGTCCATGACTCGTTGCCAGGCGTGGCTCTCTGGTCCCCTGCGAAAAACATCCGGGTTGGGACTGGGGTCCGAGGTCTCCTTGTTGAGTTGACGTCGTAGCGCCTCAATTGGATGTTGTAGATTCCATTTTTCAAGCACTTTCGTGCGTGACGTGCCCGTCATGTAGACTGGAATCCTAACGATGGGCGAATTCGTCTCATGAGCTGCGCAGTGAGCCTTTTGGCCCCAAGAAGAGTAAGCCCACTGGCGTCCAGACCGTAGACTGTGGCGGTGTACACGCAGGCCTGCCATATGCGGAGCTTGTGATGCCTTGTGAGTGCGTGCCTGCCGCGGAGGATTCTGGTGAGCCTTCCAAAGTTGCTGGAGCCAACTTCCAGTCTGTGTGCCAGCGTGCGATCCTCGTAGTGGTCATAACTAACGACCGCCCCTAAGTAGACGAATGCATCAGTCAAGGGGATATCGTGACAAGTTTTTGCGCTGCGAATTGTCAAAACCCTGCCCTCGGCTGTTTTGCGTGTAAAAAGTCTGCGGAGCTGTTCAGCACCAGGGCCAGCGCACTTGAGGATGGCTTTGCTCTTAGAGGGGCTCACTAGCATACCCATCTCTGCCAGGGTATGCAGCAACGCTGAAACTCTGGAAAGGATGAGTTCTAGTTCATGGATAGTGTGGAATACACCCGAGCAGTGGTAGTCGTCCGCGAACACACTCAATAGGTCCACGGTGGCCTGATAGCAAATTTTCTCCGCCAATTTGTCACTAATTAAGTGCGAGAATGTGAGCCAAAGTAGGGGTGCGACTGCACATCCCTGTCTGACGCCTTGAGTGGCGTGAATGACGCGATCAGTGCCGTCATGGTTGATGTGGTAGTGCGCTTGCTGGTGCCAGCTCATCACGATGTGAATAAGGTGTGCCGGCAGTTGCATGCGCTGCATACCCTCAAGCAGGCGATGTCTCGGCATGGCGTCAAAAGCTCCCGCTAGATCCAGTGTGATCTGGAGCCCACCTGTCATGGTTTTCGCCGCCGTCCCAGCAAACCGATCATGAAGAGTGCTGTGCAGTGCCCGACAGTTGGCCCTTACACTGGAGCAATGATCGAACACTCTGCGTAGCGCATCTCGGTGCGAGCGGCCAGGCGTGTAGCCGTATTGCGGGAATTGCATGATGAGGCTATATATGTGGTTCTGGTGGGGCTCCACGAGCGCCTTGAAGGTGAGTTTGCCGAGTTGGTCTTGTAGGCCGATCGGTCGGTAGTGGCCAGCCTCTTTCCCCGTTTTCGCCGGTTTTTTAATCAGTATCAAGTGAGCGTCTGACCATTTTTGCTGCACCGCCTTGGGTCCCTTGGCCCAGTGTGAATCGAGGATGTGGCACACGCGGTCGGCAGTGATGTCAGCACACAAGCGCCAGATGGCACTAGGGGGGCGGAGGGGGGCTTTTTTCAAGTGGCTTGCAAGGGTTTCTGGGAGGAGGAGGGGCCTCTGATGGGCATCCCTTTCATCCCCTGTGGGGTGGGCAGGCTCAAGGCTGATATTAATCAGCGAGTCAAGGGTTGCTGTGAATTTGGTGGTAAAGTGCTGGTGAAAGCACGTAGCCTCCTCGCTACGTGTGAGCATCTTGCCGTTGCTATCCCGGAGTTGGGGTCTGCTCCGCCTGGTTTTGGGCGCTAGAGCTCGCACCACTTGGTACAGCTGGCGCTGATTGTGACTTTGCGCTGCTTTTTCAGCGACACACATTTGCTCAAGCAGGTAGGCTTTCTTGGTGGTACGGCATCGTTCCTTATGTTTCTTGTAGAGCGCATTGTAGGTGGACCAGGTTCGCCAGCGACCTATGATGGCCTTTAGGGTAACGTCCTTGTTGCTGCTGCGATACTGGCGCCACGCTTTCCACATTTCCCGGATTCCCTGTTGTACGTGTGGCTGTTTGCCAGCGCACAGTTTGGTCCGAGCGGGAGTCTTTCTTGGGGAAGTGTTTAGCTGCGACTTCACAGATAACGTTGGATATGTTGCCCGCCGCCGTGATCGTGGTGACATCGGCTAGCCTGTCCCGGACTTCTTCACGGAAGGATTTGACAGTTGCATCATCACAGGCTTCTCGGGCCTGTGCCAATTCAACTACGCGGTCCGCATCCACCTGTGGCGTTGGGGCGGAGGGCTTGTGGAAAGTTCTGTAGTTGAATGGTAGGGACGCAACGATGGGCGTGTGTATGCCTCCTCCTTGTCGCCACCCACCTACCGGGCAGTTGTGTGGGGGCCGTGCTTGGCGCGCCTCTTTTGTAGCATGACAGCCCCTAATCAGGAGATAGTCTAGTTGGGCTTGGTGTTGGCCAAAAGTGAAGGTGTGGGCTTTTGGGCCTGGCGTGCCCCAGGTGTTCAGCGTAATGAGGGTGTGTGTGGATAGGAGGGTGTGAAACATTTCCACATCCGGGGCCCTCTCAGGTGAGAGGGCACCCGTTCCGTGACCAACATGGGGGTGCAGGGGGGTTACTTGGACATTAAGGTCTCCTCCCACAATGAGATTTTCTCTGTATGGTATCCCGCCAACGCAATGACTCAGTTTATGCCAGAACTCACTGCGCTTTTCGAGTATGTGGGTATCTTTGGGATTCCATGCGTGTTGGTAGGCACAAACTACGCTTAGGGTGCGGCCGGTGTGTCCAAGCGGGAAACGCACTCGTAGGAGGCGTCCTGGGATCACTGCATCATGCCTGACCTCCCGGACCTGGGTGAGGGATCTGCGAATCAGGAGCATCACGCCTGCATGCTTTTGGGTAGGGCTACCCGAACCAACGCAGATCCACTTTGGTGTGATATACTGGCTGTCATCTCTAAGCCTGGTTTCCCGGATTAGGGCGAGATCGTAGTGTGACGAGTCCAGGAATCCCATTAGATCCTCGTACATACCCGAGCCAAGGCCCCCGACGTTGTGACAGTAGACCTGGAGACGGCGATGGGGGACCGAGTTGCGCGGCTTGGCTAGGTTGTGTTTCAGTGTGGTTGGAAACTGTAAGTATGCGGCCTTTGTAGCCAGCTTGTCCAGTGTTGGTTGCTCGTTGGCAGGCTCTTTTAAAAGATCTCTTGACATATCGGTTCCAGTGATGAGTAGGGTCTTGCTTCCCATAACTGACCTGAATTCCGTTTAGCTTCGGCACTGTATGTGATCGACAGGGTGCCTGTGGGTTGCCTTCCCCAGTCCCAACGGAAAGGACTGGAACCCTCACACTGTGGGTAAGCTTACTCTGTAGCAGCATGATTAGCGTCAGCATCTTGCTTCCCACCCCGGACTTGGGACCGGGCCGGCTATGCTTGGCGAGATGGCGTTCCATGCCATTGGTGGGGCAGTCTCTCGGACTGCTCCCATGCGAAGGGGGCAGCATGCTGCTCTCCCTGGGCCTTTGCACGTAGCGACAGAGACACATGATGATCGTGTGCCAAGCAGAGCCCTGAGAGTACATTGCAGAAACAACCTGACCAGCAGCTGGGGCACATGCTCTGAGGATAAAAAAAGTTCGCCGTACAGTATAGGTCATCCAGGGGGGCCGTGTGCGCTCTCGGGCAGCAGGCCTTCTCCATCTACGTTTGTGGGGGGGGCACCAATCCTAATGCGTCGCGTGTGATTAGGTAGACCGCGCCGGCGTGTAGATGGGGTCCTGGTCCTTGCTTGGCGTCGTCTGGCTGCCGTGCGGTGTGTCCTGCAAGACAGGGGGGTGCTTGCTCTTCTAGAAGGTTCTACAGGGGCTTTTGGCAGTGTAACAGCACAGGCAGGCTCGCACTCAGCAGCCATGTATTGCTCACTGCGCTGTGTGTCCCGAGTCGGAGCACGGGAAATGGCCAATGCGACCTGCTGCGGATGTGGTGGACCGCCATCGGCGGTCAACACCTCTGTGCTCCGCATGATTTGGACGCTATGGAAAAGGGCCGGATCGAGCGTGGTTTCCGTGCGGAGCACGTCGTTGGCCGACCTGTAGAAGCGGACCCCTGCGGCCGCCGCTTCGCGGGTGCGGATCCAGGTTGCGATATCGCAGTCGCTGCGCATCCCTGAAACTGCGCCTTGCCACGGCAACCATTCTACCAGCTGAATATGACGGCGGAAAGTCGGACCATGTCGGCCACCTGCCATCAGTCCATGTTGCAGGATGCTGCCATAAAAATCGTAAAAAGTGCCATGGGCCGCGTATTCTGGCGTCTGGTCCACTGACAGTGGGGTGAGAACCAGATCGTCGCGGATGTGGCTGATGGAGTGGCCCTGGAGGGCTCTCACTAGGTAGATGCCTTGCTGGAAGCAGACCTCGAACCTGCTCTTCTGGTTGTAGTGGATCACGTCAATGACCTCGGCCTCCGTGATCCATTGGTTCCAGAACCTTGGGGCCCTTAGAAGGGCACCCATCTCCATGTACCCATCTTCCTGGATGGGAATCTTCAGCCGAGGGGCTGCATGGCGAAGAAGCTGAGTGAGGGCCTTCGAGATTTCCTTAGCCCTTTCGCCCCTGACCCTGCTGGGCTTGCCATGCTTTCGCATCCAGTGCTCAGTGCCCGATTCGTCGACAGGGGAGGAGCCCGATCTGGACGGTGGGCTCGGTGGCGGTCTGACTCTGTGGCCTCCGATCAGTCGGTGGGTAGTGTTGGCCTCGTCTGAGGTCCGGTCCTTCGGGGACCGCATCGGCTCATCATCTGGAGGATCGGAGTGCTCTGACCGCTGCGAGGGGGTGTCAACCTTCCCTTCCTGGTGCCGAGCCGGTTGGCACGCGTCAGCCTGAGAGCTCGTTGGCGAGTCCACAGCAGGCTCCGTCTTTTGTTGTGCCACTTGCTGAAGCTGTGCTGGTGGCGGCGTTTCTGGCACATCCTCTTGTGCTGGTAGCTCATTGGGCTCAGGAGCCGAAGGGGTGGCCGGTCGCGGCTCACCTGTTCCGGTGCGCTGTTCCCTGGCTGCTACCGGCGTGTCGAGGAGATTGCGTAGCGCTCCTGTGCCCGCTTCTCCAGGTTCTGGGGCCTGTTCCTCGTAGGTCTTGAAGACGTGAATGAACTCGGCCGGGCTTGAGCGCCAGGTGAGGGCCTCATACGTAGCCGGAGAACAGGTGTCGGTCATTGTGGTGACCAGGGTCACCAGGAGCTCCAGGTCCGGGAACCAAGTCGGCTGCGGTGACATTTGGGCGTGGCACACCACAAACGCCTCCATGAAGGATCCGAAGGCTGATGGGTCCCGGTATATGCTTCGGAGCGGCGGGCACAGCATGCTTCCCGTCAGTGACAGGTTCCAGTTGCCCACTCGTGGGTAGTCCTTGGTGGAGGGATGAGTATGGAAGGTGTTGTGGTGCTTGGTGAAGTCGCCCGATCTCCAGAATGAGTTCAGAAGCGTGGGGAGGCTCGCCCTTGCAAGCACCTCCAACAGATCCACCACTTTCGCAAGGCGGTCCCGTTGAGTTGAGCTGGGAGCCTCTTTGGGGACCGCGTGGAGCGGCTCCCCTTCTTGCTGGCGCCGGATGAACTCATCGCTGACCTGAGTGCTGCGAGACCGCTTGCTGGCTGGGGGCGGAGGAGGGCGACGGGTTTTCTTTGACTTCCTCACTGGGGAAGGCTCCGACGTCTCGTCCTCGTACACATATGAAGACTCGCTCGCCCTGTCGTCCCTCCCCCGCTCTTCCCAAGTCTCCCATTGCTCTTCCCAGTCGTCTGCTTGTGCAGTGTGCCGGGGCTCTGGGTTCCGCCAGCTCCATCTGTCCCTGGCATCCCAGGGGCCAGGACTGGACTCCCTCGTAGACTCTCTGCGCCTGGGCCCCGTGAGGACGAGGGTCTCCCACCGTCATCTTCATAGCCATCCTCGCGGCTGTCATCGGTGTAGATGCGGTAGTGTTTCGGTCCTGTTGACGAGGCGGCGCGATCAGCTCGAGTACATATGGTGCTCGCTTCTTGATTTCCCCTTGGGTACGGCGTCTCGTTCCATCTGCTCGGAACCTTGATCTAGGTTGTTTGGGCCTGTCCCCTTCCCGGGGTGGATGCTCGTCACTTGGCTTGGGCATCGTACCGACTGCGAGCGGCCAAGAATGCAGGGGGCACTTGAGAGCATGACTGAGTGATGGTACTGCCTCCCTTTCTACACTGTGTCCATGCGCACAACACTGGTAGTTCAGCGTAGGATACAATCCTACGCTTGCACAGCACGCTCCTCTGGAAGCGTCGGCTGGCGGGTCAGCGAGCTCTGGGTCAGCGAGATCGTGCCTGGGAGGGAGTGTTTGCCGGGGACGTTTTCGGGTCTGAGGCTTTGTGGTTTGCAGGGAGTGGGGTCTGTGTGCAGACTTACTGGGAGCGTTCAGCATCTCTCGTGAAGGCTGCGGTCTGCTGAGGGCAAGGCCTGAGTTCCTAGTCCATGGCGTGCAGGTCCACCGTGGCTGCGTTACCAAGCACCCTGATTTGTTCATCGTGCTTCTCCTGGGATTTAGCAATTGAGAGCTGTACCAGGTCCTTACAGTAGGCTGGCATGCGTTTGCGTCTTGATCTGCGTTTACTTGGCTCAGTGGTTGTTGGGGCTGTGACTTCGGCTTCTGCGTCACCTGCGTCGTCTGGTTGGGCATCTGCTGTAGGTAGCAATCCAGGCCGCTGTGGCAGCTATCAAGCAGGTGAGCCACGTCCCTGTCCTCGCTTTCGGAGGCCACTGCTTGCACATGTTTAGGGGCTGGCTTGCCTTGGGCGCGCTTCTCCATGGCATGGAAACGTACACCTCTGGTCAAAAGTACGGCCCGCTGGTGGGACACGTTTGAGCCGGAGTGCTTACTACTACTACTACTACTACTACTACTACTACTACTACTACTACTACTACTACTACTACTACTACTACTACTACTACTACTACTACTACTACTACTATACTACTACTACTACTACTACTACTACTACTACTACTACTACTACTACTACTACTACTACTACTACTACTACTACTACTACTACTACTACTACTACTACTAATCCCTTCCCCCTAATATTAAAGGGTCGGGGCCCCCCCCCCCTTCGCCCTAAATAAAAACTCGAGAATGTTTTTATAATTAGGGGGGTGTTGTTATCTCACATCCTTGAGCCCGCGACTTTTGCCAGGCAGGCTTTGGAGGCAGATGTTCACCCGTTAGGCCATGGCCAGATACTCTTGGGGGCGGGCGGCTGCCTCCAAAGGGGATTTGGGCACGGTCGCAGGCCCAATTCTGGCGGTGTCCTTTTGGGCCCTTGCCCCATCCAGAATCGAAATGTTGAAATGACCAAAAACCGCCAAGAGCACAACCAAACCCGCCCTAAAACCGCGCAAACCCACCAAAACCCACCCATTCCCACTTTCCCATGCCCCTTTGCCCAAATGCTATTGGTGCTGATGCTGCGGATGTTCTAATTACTCCTGCTAGTGACAATACCACTACTACTCCTGCTCCTGCTGCCGCTGCGATTGCTGCTACTGCTGCGACTGCTACCACTACTGCTACTGCTGCTGCTGCTGGGATTCTGTGTGTATTTGCACGGCTTTGGTGTGTATTTGCATGGATTTGGTGTGTATCTATACGCATTTAGCGTGTGTTTGCACGGATCCTGGGTATTTGCACGCATTTGGTGTAATCCCAAGGATTTAGTGTGTGTATTTACACGGATTGAGTGTGTATTTGCACAGATTCCATGTGTGCCTGGTGTGTGGTTAGAGGGACCTCTGCAACCTGCTGGTTCAACCTCTGCAACCTGCTGGTTCAACCTCTGCAACCTGCTGGCAACCTGCTGCTTCAACCTCAACCTCTGCAACCAGCTGCTTCAACCTCTGCAACCTGCTGGTTCAACCGCTGCAACCTGCAGGTTCAACCTCTGCAACCTGCAGCTTCAACCTCTGCAACCTGCAGATTCAACCTCTGCAACCTGCAGGCTCAACCTCTGCAACCTGCTGCTTCAACCTGTGCAACCTGCTGGTTAACCTCTGCAACCTGCTGGCTCAACCTGTGCAACCTGCTGGTTCAACCTGTGCAACCTGCTGGTTCAACCTCTGCAACCTGCTGCTTCATGCTGCTTCAACCTGTGCAACTTCAACCTCTGCAACCTGCTGCTTCAACCTCTGCAACCTGCAGTTTCAACCTCTGCAACCTGCAGCTTCAACCTCTGCAACCTGCTGGTTCAACCTCTGCAATCTGCTGCTTCAACCTCTGCAACCTGCAGGTTCAACCTGCTGGTTCAACCTCTGCAAATTGCTGGTTCAACCTCTGCAACCTGCTGGTTAAACCTCTGCAACCTGCTGCTTCAACCTCTGCCTCTGCAACCTGCTGGTTCAACCTCTGCAACCTGCTGCTTCAACCTCGGCAACCTGCTGTGGTTCAACCTCTGCAACCTGCTGGTTCAACCTGTGCAACTTGCTGGTTCAACCCCTGCAACCTGCTGGTTCAACCTCTGCAACCTGCTGGTTCAACCTCTGCAACCTGCTGTGGTTCAACCTCTGCAACCTGCTGGTTCAACCTCTGCAACCTGCTGCTTCAACCTCTGCAACCTGCAGCTTCAACCTCTGCAACCTGCAGGTTCAACCTCTGCAACCTGCAGGTTCAACCTCTGCAACCTGCTGCTTCAACCTCTGCAACCTGCAGGTTCAACCTCTGCAACCTCTGCAACCTCTGCAACCTGCTGCTTCAACCTCTGCAACCTGCTGCTTCAACCTCTGCAACCTGCTGGTTCAGCCTCTGCAACCTGCTGGCTCAACCTCTGCAACCTGCTGCTTCAACCTCTGCAACCTGCTGCTTCAACCTCTGCAACCTGCTGGTTCAACCTCTGCAACCTGCTGGTTCAACCTCTGCAACCTGCCCCACGAAAGCCGGATGTGCACCCAGTCCCCTCTAGAGAGTCCCCAGAGAGCCCAAAGCTTCAGGCCACCCCAAAATCTCGATTCCGGGTGGGGAAAGGGCCCAAATGACGCCCCTGGGGATTGAGCCCACGACCTTTGCCAAGAAGGCTTTGGAGCCGGACACTTACCCATTAGGCCATGGCCAGATAGTTTTTGGCAAGGTTGCGCACCTTGCTAGTAGTTTTGGGAGAGGTCGCAGGCCCAATTCTTGCGGTGTCATTTTGGGCCCTTTCCCCATCCAGAATCGAAATGTTGAAATGACCAAAAGCGCCAAGAGAGCACAACCACACCCGCCCAAAACCGCGCAAACCCACCAAACCTCTGCAACCTGCTGGTTCAACCTCTGCAACCTGCTGCTTCAACCTCTGCAACCTGCTGGTTCAACCTCTGCAACCTGCTGGTTCAACCTGTGCAACCTGCTGGTTCAACCTGTGCAACCTGCTGGTTCAACCTCTGCAACCTGCTGCTTCAACCTCTGCAACCTGCAGGTTCAACCTGCTGGTTCAACCTCTGCAACCTGCTGGTTAAACCTCTGCAACTTGCTGTGGATCAACCTCTGCAACCTGCTGGTTCAACCTGTGCAACCTGCTGGTTCAACCTCTGCAACCTGCTGCTTCAACCTCTGCAACCTGCAGCTTCAACCTCTGCAACCTGCAGGTTCAACCTCTGCAACCTGCTGCTTCAACCTCTGCAACCTGCAGGTTCAACCTGTGCAACCTGCTGGTTCAACCTGTGCAACCTGCTGGTTCAACCTCTGCAACCTGCTGCTTCATGCTGCTTCAACCTGTGCAACTTCAACCTCTGCAACCTGCTGCTTCAACCTCTGCAACCTGCAGCTTCAACCTCTGCAACCTGCAGGTTCAACCTCTGCAACCTGCTGGTTCAAACTCTGCAACCTGCTGCTTCAACCTCTGCAACCTGCAGGTTCAACCTGCTGGTTCAACCTCTGCAAATTGCTGGTTCAACCTCTGCAACCTGCTGGTTAAACCTCTGCAACTTGCTGTGGTTCAACCTCTGCAACCTGCTGGTTCAACCCTGCAACCTGCAGGTTCAACCTCTGCAACCTGCTGCTTCAACCTCTGCAACCTGCAGGTTCAACCTCTGCAATCTGCAGGTTCAACCTGTGCAACCTGCTGCTTCAACCTCTGCCTCTGCAACCTGCTGGTTCAACCTCTGCAACCTGCTGGTTCAACCTGTGCAACCTGCTGTGGTTCAACCTCTGCAACCTGCTGCTTCAACCTCTGCAACCTGCTGCTTCAACCTCTGCAACCTGCTGGTTCAACCTGTGCAACCTGCTGGTTCAACCTGTGCAACCTGCTGCTTCAACCTCTGCAACCTGCTGCTTCAACCTCTGCAACCTGCTGGTTCAACCTCTGCAACCTGCTGGTTCAACCTCTGCAACCTGCCCCACGAAAGCCGGATGTGCACCCAGTCCGCTCTAGAGAGTCCCCGGAGAGCCCAAAGCTTCAGGCCACCCCAAAATCTCGATTCCGGGTGGGGAAAGGGCCTAAATGACGCCCCCGGGGATTGAGCCCACGAATTTTGCCAAGAAGGCTTTAGAGCCGGACACTTACCCATTAGGCCATTGCCAGATAGTTTTGCGAAAGGTTGCGCACCTTGGTAGTAGTTTTGGGAGAGGTCGCAGGCCCAATTCTTGCGGTGTCATTTTGGGCCCTTTCCCCATCCAGAATCGAAATGTTGAAATGACCAAAAGCGCCAAGAGAGCACAACCACACCCGCCCAAAACCGCGCAAGCCCACCAAACCTCTGGAACATGCAGGTTCAACCTCTGCAACCTGCTGGTTCAACCTCTGCAACCTGCTGGTTCAACCTGTGCAACCTGCTGGTTCAACCTGTGCAACCTGCTGCTTCAACCTCTGCAACCTGCAGCTTCAACCTCTGCAACCTGCAGGTTCAACCTCTGCAACCTGCTGCTTCAACCTCTGCAACCTGCAGGTTCAACCTCTGCAACCTGCAGGTTCAACCTGTGCAACCTGCTGCTTCAACCTCTGCCTCTGCAACCTGCTGGTTCAACCTCTGCAACCTGCTGGTTCAACCTGTGCAACCTGCTGCTTCAACCTCTGCAACCTGCTGCTTCAACCTCTGCAACCTGCTGCTTCAACCTCTGCAACCTGCTGGTTCAACCTCTGCAACCTGCTGGTTCAACCTCTGCAACCTGCTGGTTCAACCTCTGCAACCTGCACCTGCTGTTCAACCTCTGCAACCTGCTGGTTCAACCTCTGCAACCTGCTGGTTCAACCTCTCTGCAACCTGCTGGTTCAACCTCTGCAACCTGTTGCTTCAACCTCTGCAACCTGCAGCTTTCTGCAACCTCTGCAACCTGCTGGTTCAACCTCTGCAACCTGCTGGTTCAACCTCTGCAACCTGCTGGTTCAACCTCTGCAACCTGCTGTTGATGTTGGGAACTTGCACCGGGGAGGGTTTCGGTGGGTTTGCGCGGTTTTCGGCGGGTTTGGTTGTGCTCTTGGCGGTTTTTGGTCCTTTCAAATTTCGATTCTGGATGGGGAAAGGGCCCAAGGGGACACCGTCAGAATTGGGCCTGCGAGCTTGCCGAAACCCCCTAGAGAGAGTATGTGGCCATGGCCTAATGGGTAAGTGTCCGGCTCCAGACCCCTCCTGGCAAAGGTCGTAGGCTCAATCCCCGCGGGTGTCATTTGGGCCCTTTCCCTACCCGGAATCGAGATTTTGGGGTGACCTGAAGCTCTGGGCTCTCTGGAGACTTAAGAAACGCTATTATAAGGGCTGCAAATCACACCAAATCCGTGCAAGTGCACACTAAATCCGTGCAAAGACAACGAAATTCGTGCAAATGCACACCAAATT